TGATGTTAGGAAACAGATGGGTGAAGAAGTCCCTTAGCAGAAACAAATGGGGCAAATTTTGCATGAGGAGGTGAAAGAGCTACAGGTGGGCTCGTTTTAATTATTAAAAAATATATACATCAGAATTTGAAAGTAGTATAGGTCAAACCCAGGCAAATGTACATATTACCCTTCATTTAATACACTATTAAAGCAATTTAATAGGAGTAGCAGATATTGAAAGCTTGGATTCAGGAGCTTAAGCATTTCACAGAATGTTGAAATTTTGTATGGAAATCTGATCTGAAGATGTGCAGTGCAAGTTTTGGTTATCTGCAAATCATATCTGAAGTTAGTCACCATCAACCATTGATAACTGCAGAGAACTAACAAAGGAATTGTTATTCAGACCACAAGGGAATCAATCAGGCTTCTGACACATCTATCATTGTCAGACTTAATAATTGCTGGATTCATTGGGTGTGTGATATGTCAGATAAGTGTGATTGAGTCTCATGAAGTTCACTCAAGCCAGGCTGTTGGTACTGAAAGGGACTCAAGATACAGTCTTCTGTGGCAATCAGAGCTTTTTACAGGAAAGGTCAAGTATTGGTTGTTCTAAAAATTATTATACAACAGTTCTTGTTGATATTCAATACCTGTATAAAATGAAAACAAAAAAAAAAAAAAAAGAAAGAAAAAGAGTAATCACACTGTGGTTATCAAGAAGAATCAACACACATCATAAAAGGTTAGATTATATCAGAACTCAGAAACAGCCTGTTAGCTGTTCTGCTACCATCCCTGGCTCTTCTGTTGCCTTTTCCCTTCTCTGCTGGAAATGATAAAAATTACAAGGTGAATTCCAGCGCATTGCATTTTGATTGCTATTTTATTACATGCATCCCATTTCCAGGATATTTTTGCCTTGCTGCTTATCTCGCAGCTAAATTTGGAAAGCTGTCTGCAGGCCAGTGTTCTATTGAATGAGCTGGCTGCCTGAAAAGATAAGTGATGTGATTTTGCACCATTTAGGGGCTGCAAATTCAGAGCACTGTTCGCAGGGCTTTCAAGGGGCCTCTTTACATGTATCAAATCTTCTTCCCATATTTTGTGAAACAGCAAAACTGAACTAATAATACCTTTTCTGATTAATTCTCAGATTTAGCACATAAATGATTTGGAGGATGGGAGAAAAAGAAGACGTATTATTTTCTAAAATAACGAATTCAGGGCACAGTAAAAAAAGGCAGGATAGAAAGGGACCACTAAAATCAGCTACCCAGGTTTGCCCACAGGATTCCTCTATACATTTTGACTGAAGTGGCTGTAATCTCCTTCCATAGACTCAGACTGAACATATCAGATTATGTGGTAAATTATTTTGGATGTTAATTTCTATAAACAGAAAAGTGATCTGACATCTTAACTGTAATCTCATATGCATGAGCTACATGTCAGAAAAAAAACAAACAAACAAACCCAAAAACTAAATGTATACCTTCTATCTAAAATCTTTACATTTTTCTCTTTTATATCCCCAACTCAAATTAATGAAGGACATATCTTAATTTTATCCATGTTTTAAATTTGTCCACGCTTAAGATCAAAAAAACAAAATTTGTTTTGTAAGCTTTTGGCACAAAGCTGCTTCTTTGGAAAACTAGAAGTAAACAATACACAGTGTTAGAGCAGAGGTGATGAACAAGAGAAAATGACAGAGAAGACAGAAGCAGGGCAGAGCTCTGAGGCACCTCAGATGTGAGGATCTTGCCTGTGATACAGAAGGGAATTGGAGATGTCTTTGCCTGCCTCCCTGGCTAAGTTTAAACTTCTGCTTTTCAAGTCCATAGCTTGTTCTGATGGAGGTGCTTTTGGGAATCCTCTGATCTGTTCTGTTTTGCTCATGAACATGATCCGTTAAGCACCTTGTGAGAACACCATTTGTAGTCATCCCATTTTCATAAATACATAAAATACTGCTTGCCCAGTATCTCATTTTAGATAACAGTCATGTAATGTTTCATTTATTAAGTGATGGATCTATCATATGAAATCAGTTTTATATAAAGTTGTTATCCTCTTTACAGTATAATAGGAACAAAATGAAAACACATAACATTTTAAAGGCATCAGTTATGACTGCTATTGGCAGATACCCAAGAGTAAAGGAAACTGTGACATGTTGCCAGCAGCTCATAACAAGCTCACGCCATGCACTGCATAATATTTTCACTTCTAATTTCTACTTTTTAACATCTGGAAGTAGTGCTGAAATTACTTTCCCTGAATTTTTTGTTGCAGAATATATAAAAATCTCCTAGTCCGTGTTTGCCTTTCACAGACGTTTTAATACATGATTTATTTTTTTTTTACAGGAATGTTCAGTTGTACAAGGAATTTTTTGAGTTATTCAAAGTGAATTTTGTAACTGTAACTATGAATGATGGTGTTAATGATGCTAAGTCAGGGCTTAAACCAGTGACTTGAACATCTGGTGGGAAGGCATGGCCAACCCAGGGGAGCTCAACTGCATGCAATGCACCTCAGTGACCAGAAGGGGTGGAAACAGAAAACCATCCCTTCCCAGACCTCTTTTAAGGGTTGGCAGTGGAGGCAAGGGCATTTCTTTGGAGATCCCAGCGTAGCTGACGCCTTACAAGAGTAAGCAGGTTCTTTCTTTTGTTTCTGTGTCCACGGCTGCTGCATTTGAGCATATCCTCATTTGCTGCAGCCTAGGACTTTGCTACTATGCTGTTATTGCTTTACTTTCTATCACATTACATTTGGCATCATAAATTAATTTACATTTTTTCACTTTTACAAGAAACCCCAGCTGTATCCTTTTAAAACAATGTCAGATGGGAATACTCATCCCTTCTCAGAAAAAGAAACAACCAAGAGTTGTTTGTAAAAATAAATGAAAATCCACTCAATTTTGAATTAATGCTGAAAAAGTTCTGTTCACAAACTATTACAAAGCAGCAATAGAGATAAAGAGGGTTGGATTAACTTTTCAGTCAGCTCATCAAATAAATACTCTTAAAAAACTTCTTCCTTATATCCAGTCTAAATCTCCCCTTTTTTAGCTTGAAAACATTCCTCCTTGTCCTATTACAACAGATCCTGCTACAGTCTGTTGCCCTCTTTCTTATAGCCCCCTCTTATATACTAAAAAATCTCTATCAGGTGTCCCTGTAACCTTCTCTTCTACAGATTGGACAGCCCCATCTCCCTCAGCCTGTCCACATAAGGAAGATGTTCCATCCCTTGGATCATTTTTGGGGGTTCTCCTTTGGACACGCTCTAACAGGTCCACATCTCTCCTGTACTGAGGACTCCACATCTGGACGCAGTACCCCAGGTGTGGTCTCACCAGTGCAGAATAGATGGGTCAGAACTACCTCCCTCAGCCTGCTGGCTCTGCTTCTTTCGATGAAGCCCAGCATACAGTTGGCTTTCTGAGCTGTGACAGCACGTTGCTGGCTCAGGTTCAGCTTACCCCCAAATCCTTTTCAGCAGGGCTGCACTCTATCCTGTGTCACCCTGTTTGGATTGATAGTCAGGGTTGCTGCAACCCACGTGCAAGACCTTGCGCTTGACTCTGCTGAGCCTCATGAGGTTCTCTTAGGCCTACTGCTCGAGGCTGCCTGAGGCCTCTCTGGATGGCATCCCATCCCTCAGGCGTGTGAAACAGATCTTGTTACTATCACTTCCAGAGTCACTGGAACTGTATTGTCATTTTCGCTGTATGGTAGGTGTAGGATTTTACTTGTCATCTCTGGCTTTTGTCCCAGACAGCTGTTCCCAGTATGTCACAGAGGAAAATAAATACTAGTAGTACAGGACTTGGAAGTATTCAATTCTGTACCACAATGTCTTGGGATATCTTCTAAACAAACATCATGATTCAGAGCAGTGTAACTTCTCACTGCATCCTATTCAAAGCAGCATCCCAAATGATGTTTAAGGATGAAAAATTTCCAGTGCATTAGGACACACAGGAATCCACACACCCCCACCAGGATTAGTGGAACACATCCATCCAATTGCTTTTTCCTTTCTAAGAGGCACTTCCAGTTTGAGGAGTAAGCAAAGAAAGAGGGTGTTGGTGGGGGAAGAGGGTGGGTGGGTTAATATTTCTTGGCAGAGGTGTCATTTTGGCAGTAAAAAAAACTATACTCAATTTTTATTTTTTACAAGACTCCAGAAAACAGCGTATACAATTAGAACCTTATCTTTAGCTTGGACCTGAGCTTGAAGAGTGTACTTTGCCAACTAAAAATTTTGTATTTTGTGTTACAGTTTCAGACCATCTCATGTTTCCATAATTAAAAAATTAAGCATTTTCAGTTTCCGTTGCTACTCAGAAGTAGAGAAAAAAACACTCACTTGTCAGGAGTTTGCTTTTAGTAGAAAGATATAATATTTCAGAACAATCAAGTTATACAAGTAATGTTAGCTTTTGTTTTTATTCCACATTTGCAGAGATTGCCCTTTATCCTATTGACCTTATGATACCTCCTTGTCACCCAAGAGTGACAAGAGTCACCAAGAGTGACAGCCAGTTGCACTCCAATTTTAAGGGCTGTATATCACTTTTCATGCAGTTCTCTAGTGCTATGAAAACACTCTGGTGTGACTGACAATAAAAACATACAGCATTTGCCTTCAGAAATCATTTTCTTTTCTCAAGAGAAATACAAATAAAAAACTATCTTCTAAGTCTCTGCCCAAACCAGATTGTTACATGTACTATTTTAGCAAAGACAGTACTCGATTATAATAAAATAGAGGCAAATGTGATGTGACATTTGAGGCTCTGCTCAGTTTCCTTTTTTTTTAGGTGGAATATTCTTTCTGTTATGGTAATGACTTAGTGTGCAGTATCTATATGGAATGTAGTAATCTTTGTATGATGAAAATCAGCAGTATTCCTCCTTTTTTCACATTTCTTTTACATTTATTTTTTCTTCTCCACATGTTCATCATTTTTCCTTCTGCTTTTATTCCTTTCATGATTCTTTTTTTTTTTCCTTCCTGTGCTGTACTACCTTCATGCAGCTTCCGACTCCCTCTCCTTGATCCCCAGTTAATGGCTTTCCTCCTTTTCTTCCCAGCTGCTCAGAGATTGCTCCATCCCCATGGCTTTGCTCTCTGTGGCTTCACACTCTTGATTTGATCTCTGCGGTTGTCACCTCTCCTACTCCGCCTCCTGTGTGAGCCACAACAAAGTGTTGTTGGCAAAGCACTGGGAACATTAGGAGAAGGGATTTTCAGGTTTGCCTCTTGCTGTGCCTACATGTGGAAAAAGTAGAAAACAAGAATGGCGCGCATCATGCTGACATTTATTCTGTGTCCTGCTCAGTCCTAATATGTGCCTGAAGCACAGCACCATCAGGATACAGACAGTAGCAATGCACTGAAACTAAATACATGAGACGAGGTTCTCTCAAAACCTTGACAGAGATTTCCTTTAAGAGATTGCCATAAATCCCTATCTGCTTTGTAAAAACAACTTCTGCTGCATATGTGCAGCAAAGCTGCAAAGAGACTATCTTAACGCATTGCTGGAGGGGTTTTCTGGCTGAGTCAAACCATGTTCATAGAAGAAAATTGAAATTATAATCATATTAGGAAATTCCGTGATCCATGCTGAAAGAAATTACATTTAAAAAATAGCATTTATGTTAAGACAAAGCTATTTCCACTACTGATATTTTTATTGATACTGTATTTCAAGAGAAATTAATTTAACTTAATTTTGTAGCATATATTTGCTTAGTTTCACTGAGATGAAATACAGTTTAATGTGCTTGTGTAAGGCTTTGGCATTGCTAATATATTTAATTTAAAATGAAAAGCCACCAAAATGTGTCAAAAAAATAACCTATCTGCTCATTCAAGATTTTTCTTGTCAATAAAAAAATTTCTCAGACACCAAAAATGCTCATTTTGGACAGAATGATAAACTTAGGGGAAAATCTGGTTACCAGCATGCTAGAAAATTTAAATACATAAACTGTAATAGATTAAGGCAGAAAGTGACAGCTAATTATAATTTCTGAGATTAATCTTTGCAATTCAGCAGGGCAGAACGTCTCAGCTCCTCTCCACTTGCATCTGTATACATATGTAACATAGGACTAAAGCTTAAATCTAAAATCTCTCCACCTCAGACTGGAACCTTGATTTTTTCTTCCTACAGAAGTTTTGGTAATTTATCCATTGATTAATTTCCATTGTATTGCTAGCACCTGTGTTGAGTCAAAATTAATTGAAATTATAATCTGAGTAGGCACTTTGATACTGATTGTCTAGCGATAGTTTGACACAGCTCTGATGAGAGTGAAGGAAATAAGCACAGTTCTTGTGATGAGAATGACCCTTTTGTCAAAGACCTTAGCTTGACTTCCATTCCTTTCCTAGCTCCTATATTGTGCTGTCACTGTGCTGGGGTTGTGGGGACATAAAGTCTCATTACTTTCCTGGTATTTCAGCACGCTCTAGCAACAGTGTTGGAAACTCTCCCTCCAGATCAACTCTCTTGGTACTGGAATTAAGAGGGCTATAGGAAATAATCCACCTGCTGCATTAATTATTGAGACATCTACAACTACTTTGAAAACTTCCCTGACTTCCTGGCCCACATCAATGCTGTAATTTCAAATAATTATTGGGTCATTCTTTTCACTGAACCAGCTGCATTGGAACTACCAAGGACGGTAAGTTAGCTGCAATTTGAGATACTGCACCTTGTTAGTCATCCTGAACAGTACTGATCAGGAAAGGATGTTGTAGTAAGTTTTCCTCACTACTGATTTCTTCCAAAAAAGAAAGACTGAGCCACCTAAGCACAATCCCTTCCTTACCAGCAAAAGGGAGAGAAAAACTGTCAATAGCACCCTGTGGCATTGAAGCGAGCTGACAGCTCTTAGAAACTGACGGATGCTTGCATGCAAAACTGTCTGTTGAGAGCAAAGAGGTAACAGGTGCTCATCATGCTCAAGTGGAAATTTCCAAGACTGGCAACATTGATAGTGGTTTCACATACTAGCATCTTGTGGATACCTTAGTTTGTGGTAGCAATAGTAATGAGAAGACGGTTGGATTAGATGATCTTACAGGTCGTTTCCAACCTTGTGATTCTATGATTCTATAACTCTTTGTTGGATGGAGAAGGGAAAGAGAGAGAAAAATAATTTGAAAATTGTACAAGGCATCCTGGAGCAGTTTCCTGCAAAATGGTCCTCTTCATGCTTCATCTCAGGCTGGATCTACTGATAGAAAGATCAGATTGAGCCTTTTGTGTGAGCTGACACAAGTTACTTCCATCATAAAAAGGAAGCAGACAGTAACTTTCCTCTGCTTTGTGTTCCTGATGTAGATGAATCTCTAAAGCTTTATTTTTTATAAGTGTGAGACCATACATGGTGCAGAAACAGTTTACCCATCATGTGTCTGCAGAAATAGGACGAAACCCAGCTCTCCAGGGGTCCTTCTGCTCTTGGTGCTGGAGATGCTGTGGGGAGAAGTGTGGCTGATCTGGACTTCCTTCTGACTCCCAGTCTTTGTCCTGGAGTCCTAAGAGAGGGAGATGGTCCTGGGCTAATCCCTCCCCTTATCAGTAAGAAGGATAGCATGGGAGAGGTGGAGCAGAGAGGTGAGTGTGAGTGATTTGCAAGGGAAAAGAGGATTCACTCCCTCCCCACCCCCAGTCTGCCTCTCCACTGTCCATCTCAAATATTTCTGGCTTTCCTTCTCATAGCATTTTACCTCTGTGGATGAGAAGTCTTGAAGTATCTTTGATTTCTGCTCAGTATCTTGATCCACTGACACAGCGGATTAGTTTCTGCTTAACCTCCTTTTCCATAGCACTCTGATGAACAGCTAGACTTGCTGCTGTGAAGGTATGATAGTGACAGTGTTCCTGTTTGTTACCAGTTACAGTAAAAGTTCGTTTCTTGGTAAAGCCAATTTTCATAAAGCTAGGGGCAACTCAGGCCACAAGAGAAAGATGTGAAGATTTTTTATTTGAAGGAAACATGCCAACATCTGCAAATGCTGTTAAAGAAAATGGCCCAAAATGAATAAATATTAATAATATGATCTATCCCTCCTTGGACCAGGGTTCAGGCTTCACAGGCAATTCCCACTGTAGCTTATGTTTTTCATCAAAAGCAGAACATTACCTGTCTATTAATATTTTACTTTGTTATGTGTGGTTTTGCTATTTATACGTCCCTTTGAGTAACTTACAACTTTATTGGGTTTGTGTTTACCTCGCTCCCACAGCAGTCAGATGTGTAATCAGTTTACATCTCCCCCGTGAGGAAACAAAATGAAGAGAGATCAAAAACCCTGTATTGACAACCCTGTATTGCTTACCCTGCGGTGTACCTGACTGGGAAATAATCCTGCTGCAGTCAGAGAAGCTTTTTCACCGAGTAAATCCCATCCGACAGCGGCTGGGGGCAATGATCAGACCCGGTTCCCTCTCCATGTGGGAGGCGCGGGTCGGACTCTCGGTGACCCGGGCCGGCTTCTCGAGCGCTCACGGAAAGCAAGCACTGGGCAGAAATCCCATTTCCACAAGCATCTCACCCTCCTCGGTGTGTTTTTTTCCTTGTTTATTAGGCAGGAGATTATAACGTGCAGGTTCGCGTTGAACCCCTTCCAGTTTCTCTCTCACCGCAATATCGGTAGTGGATTTCTTTGACGAAGAGCACCATCTTGTGGGAGTACGGCTCCTGCCCGTGCCGAGCAGCCACGCTGTTACTGAAGCCCAAACTTGCACATGGAGCGTCCCAACATCAGTAGTCCTTCTAACTTACACTTCTTTTACTGCTGGAAGTTGAGGAATAAGAAAAAAGAAGACGAAATAACACGTTTATTTTGCATTATTATAAGGAAATACGCATCAAAGTCAGCATAACCTAATGACTGTACAGCTTACAGTACAGTAAAGGACATAAGTCCTTTTGCTTTACTACAGTGGATTTCATAACCACAACACAAACTTTTATATTATGTATTATATTATGTAGCTATCGATTATTGTACTGTTATAACAAATGATACATGTTTAAAGCAAGAGCTAAATCAGACTAATACTTTCAGTACTTCATATACTTACAGTGCTTTCGTATGAGAAATCTGGGCAGAAATTTTCCATTTAGGCTGTTGAAGGAGCCAGATCATTTCTGTTGGCATCCTGAAAATCTTTTTCACACTGTGATGTTGTTTTTAGAAGGCAGATTGTTCCTACTGCTGTTGAAGGGCAGCCCAACACAACTGATCAGGGTGGTAGCTCTGCTCTTGTACCAGTAATTGTATTTAAGCTTGTGTGTATATTTAGGCTAAAAATATACATAAAAGCCTTAAAGCCTGATGTGTCTATCTCCAGTGAACACAGATAAGGATGATCAATATATTACTACTTATAGCTGTATATTACACTCTCATCTAAGAGATCATTGAGACTTTTTGTCTTAATGTGGTAGAAAACCACAAGTGCTTCGTAGCAGAGGAGAACAGAGAGTTTGGTCTGGTGTGCCCTTTAACCATGCTTAGGGACACATCCAGAAAACATGCAAGAAATTTTGAAGGGTGTTCTGAGGAGCCATTTACAATTGCCTTTTTCTTCTTAGTGTTGTTTGTTTCTTTGTTGTTAGTGTTTTTGTTGTTATTTTAAAATTCTTTAATTTAAAATTCTGTTTTAAAATTCTGAGCTAAAGATAGATGCTAGCATCTTGCACTTGGGTAAACTGTGTTCTTAATTTATATTTAAATTCTAAATATTCTGTGCATAGATGTAGAAGATTTTAAAATATGTTAAGTGTTGTAGGTGAAAACTAACAGAACAAAGCTCTAGATAGTCTAAATTCTCTGGCTGTGAATGACTGTTATAAAGATTTGACATTTGTTACCTCTCCCTCTTAAGTTACTTTCGTTTTGCAGTTTGAGGAGAGTGTAGTGTCTTTTACTTTGCTTGAAAAACTATCAAGAACATATTCTGAAACGCAGTGGGTCCAGGTGTTGTCAGTGCTGAGTTCAGTGAGAGATGCCTCCCTCAGTCAGGGTGACTTCATAATAAGACAGAAATTACGATGTACTTGCACTCAGCCATTGCAGAACACAACTCCATGCAGCAGTGCAAACCATTTGTATTAGTAGCATGAGCTGATACTGCAGCCTACAAAGTATAATGTGTGTGAATGAATATTCGTTTGTGAAAAAGGCAGAATACTATAAATGGATATACATACCACTTTCAATAGCTTAAGAAAATCACTGCCTATACTCATGTCTGCTCATGTTTAAGATGTGTGAAAAGTTTCTTAGTGTTAGGAGCATCTTTTCCTCTTTTGGTAGTATATGTGAGGGGTGCCTCCTGAAATTATACATCTAAATTCATATGCCTGAATCCAGCAGTCACAGCTCTACTGGAGATATTGGGATATCATTTCCCATCCCTCATTGTTTCTTATTTAGAAGACTGCAGCAAGGTTTATTCTGTTGTTTTCTATTTTTCTTTGATATATCCTGCTGCATAATACTGAGATTTCAATGTGCACAGCCAATATGAAGAAAAATTGTAAAATATCCATCCTTTCTCACATATAAGAAATTCTAGGTTTTTAGTGATCCTGCAAAATTGCTTGTAAGAAACCCTGAGATGTGTATTACTACCAGGAATAGCCATTAACTTCCCTTTTACTGAATGTATCAAAGTAATTTAAAGAATCTGGCCCTGTATTATATTATATATCCTGTGTCAGGATTCATACTCACTCAAACAGCTAACTGAAATAATTACATGCATATTGGCTGGAAATCAGTTTAAATATTCTTCATGAAACACTGATTTTATATATGCTCAGCAGGATATGTTTCCTTGCGAAGAGCTAAGTGTAACTTTCTTGCGTGTTTTTTCAAGGTGAACATCAAGGTGCTGTCCCATGAGATGAACAAAAATCTGCAGTCACCAACTACTTACACTTAAGTTACAGCTTGGCCTGCAAATCGTGCTTACCTCACTCTTACTTTTATTGTCTTAGAAACCTGCCAGATGCTCCCCGGTGCTGCCACCTGCTGCTTCTCTTCATTAGAGCTTGGAATCAATAAGATTCAGTTTGCCTGAAGCTGCTTTTCTATGAAGCCATCTTTGCCCAATGTTTTTAAATAGCATTTTGTTCTGAGATCCATTGGCTTTGCAATGATACCCACAATTGCCTTGTCCTTGATGCCACATTAGCAGGCAGTCTGGGTGTGTGGCTCTAGAGCTTTAAGAATATGTACACAATATAGCACATATACACACATTTTATTAGGGGATTACTTCTTGCTTCAGCACAGCTGAAAGGATACAAAAGCTCTATACCTCACCTTCAGTGTACCTCTACCTTCAATGAACATATTGCTTTAATTTTTTACCATTCTTGAGAGGAGACGTGGGAGTTCCTTTTGTTTGCTGCTGGTTTGTCCCCTTCTGTTTGTGCTAATCCAGTGCTCTGCAGCAAGCAGGATGCAGATCTGCTCTGGAATCATGTACCCCCCTTCCTTGTGATCTCATGACTTAGATAAGAGGAGACTCCCACCAGCATTTCCTTTCCTTGTAGTTTGTTTGCTCTGTGTTGCCACCCAAGCTCAGAGGAGAAAACTTGTTCTCCCAGGTCATCACCATCATTTGACTTAAGGACAACTGCAGGGACGTATGAATCAAGATTGATGACAAAAGATCATGAAGTCTGCATAGTCTGATGTTCTGTAACGGAATGATACCACAGTAATAGATTTGACAAGGAATGTTAGGACTGACTTTTTTTCTGTTAGGAGTTAATTTTGAAACGTGCTGCTAATGGAGGGACATTTCAGAGAAAATTTCCACCCCACTGCCCGGTATTGCATTGCTGTTACAAATGCCATTTGTAATTAACACGGAAGTCATGTCTTCTGTACCATTTACTATGCGTGGAACAGAAGTATGCATCGTTCTGCACCCATTTTCCCCAAGAGATGTATGGATTAAGAATAGCTTAGTACTTACCTTATGGCATTTTCTCCTAGAATGAGGTAACAAATGTGTTACATTTTGATAAGATATACCTTAACTCTTCACAGTACCCCGGTTCACTTTCTCTGTAATTCCCTCCAACCTCCAGCTGAAATATCAATCACTAAGCAAAAGGTTTCTAAAACTATTTTAACAATAGCTATGGAAGGATGATAAATCTGAATCAATCAGTGCTGACAGGGCTTTTTAACAGAAGTCAAGACAAGGCTTACACATTCTGTGTAGTTTGTATTTATTACTAATCAGAATAAAACAGTAAGGGGACAATAACAGCTAGTTATCACAGTTAACATGAAAGTGCCATGCTGCCATCAGTGAGTCATTTCTGTAATTTCTTCCCCATTTTTCCTTTCTCCAACAATTCCAGATTACACTCTATGACAGTGCCCATCTCTGAGCTGTAGATAGGCTTTTTTCCAAGAAGCAAGCAAGCAAGCACTTCTCAGGGGAATGAGCAAAGAGGAAGGTGCCTGAGTCTTGCTGATATGACCTTATGAAAGACATGACACCTCCTGCAGCTACTGCCCGTCTCCAGCTGCCCTTCTTCCTTTACCGGTGAGGTGCGAGAGCTTCCACGAA